CTGCTAGAAGCTTCGTGTACTCGACACTTTGGAATGCTATGTTCCAATTTGCCGACCACAACGAGGCGCTGACTCGTCTCTTACCAGGTACCCAAATTGGACTGTTGATGACTTGAACAGTTTGAATTTGAGTGAAAGGGTCTGTTTGGCAGATGTGATCACCAGTAAGCATTCCTTCTGTTAGAATGAAAATTCTTCTATGTGTCTCTTCTCCTTGTACGACACCCGACTCGGAATTGCGTTCTACTTCTCTTCGCTCGCCCTTTTCCGGTGCTGATGAGATCTAAACTCTATCGTAGGTCGAGCTTTCGAGCCAGCCAGATGTCTAGAATCCGTTGAATGAAGATGATGGAAGGATACTCAATGAATCTGAACCTTGCCGGTGCGTTTGCTGGGTTTCTTGTGTGTACTTGTTCTCCAAGTCTGACTGTGACCGGCAAGTCACCCTTAGACGCGGGAAATCAGCACTCAGAGCCACGTCAGCCGCCGCAAGTAATTTCTTTCAGCTCTCCTCGCCATCCTTGTTGTTCCCGAATGTGCTGTCTATTGCATGACCCACCTCAACATCCGCAATCACCCTCAACATCTCAACGTCGCTCCTTTGCCGCCTTTTTGCCTTCACAAAGTCGCGCCTCCACCTCAGCATTCAGGCTCATGGGTCATGCGAAATCTTCACCACGAAATACCACCACAATGTTTGGTTGCTCTAGGTCTGGTGGAGAAGGGAGAGATACGGCCGATTCGAGGTGTTGACGAAATAGGGTAATCTACGATGAAGGCAGGAGGTCGGCTAGCTCATGTGAGGAGAGCACAATGACATCGGAGATGAACAACAACAGACCTCCGGAAGGCCAAAGAAATGCACTTATGACCTTTGGTCTAGAGCGATAGCGACGCACCTGTAGTGTGTTTCGCATAGCAGTTCTCCTGCCTTCTGACTCCGTTGCTCTTCTTCATGCCTCTCCAACCGGCGGAAATATCCATTCAAGCCGGCACGGCAATTTTGTGTCGTTTCAGAATGGGCTGGGTTACGGGTGAGCATGAGAAGCGGATTTCTTGGGCAGGAAGACATTTCCTCGTTCGTCGAGGAGATGGCTGGCCATTCTCAGCGGGATTGCACGCCGAATTACCAATGTGCTGTAGACCTGTGACACTTTCCATTGATGAGCAATCGTCAAGTGTTGGCCACGCACCTTAGGTTGTTCGCTGGTACCCAGAGTCACCGCTTATACACTGGGCTCCACTACTCCAGGACCCGGCTCCCGTTCCTCTTCTTCCATTATTTCCTCTAGGCCATCTCCAACCGCGCTCATACTGGGAACCAAAGTCTGGACCCGCCCAAAGCTCTCCCCAAATTCCTATCTCTTCGTGTTTTTGTTGCTCTATTCCCCTCCCTCGACTCATACCATTCTGCTTCTCCTTTCCCGCATCCTGTTTCGCTCTACCGATACACGTTCCACCACGAAGCGTATGCCTTGTCATACTGCTCGGCCAGAGCTGGAGGCACGACTGAGAATCGGCTGGATGAAATACCAGCGGCTCGCTCGCCTCAAAGTAGTGCTGTAGGGGTGAAAGACCAGACGCCTACAAACCGGGATGCTTTAAACGAAGATTAGGGATGTTTATCCTGTTCACAGCTTCGGTTTTTGCTCCTCGTGCCATCTTTATTTACTTCTCTTTCTCCCTCCCTCTTGGTTCATGCTCTGTAAACATGGTGTCCCTATCCATTGTAAGCAGCTCGGAAGCGCAGTTACTCGAACGACGAAAAAACCCCAGTTTGCGGTTACGAGATGCAGCGGAGAACGAGATAGATCAGCGTTGCCGGAGCACCAAAAACGGAGAATGTTCCTCGTCGAGGTGTTTTCGGATAAGCCATCGTCTCCCCAGCCGGAAAGATAGAGCAGCGTAGAGGCCTCCCTTTAGTAAAGGGAGGTCCAAACGTCAAGGATATTTATGGTGCCTTGAATGCGATGTCGGTGTTGGTAGATTTGGTTGTGAAGTTTGCCCCTGAAGCCTCTGGTGTATGTGGACACCATTTTCCTGATTTCAGCCCATTCCCTCCCCGCTTCCGCCCTCGTACCTTCAGGATCCGTTCTCTCCTCCATCACTTACCTCTCCTTCTCCTACAAATTATAGTGTCCCTTCTCACTACGACTCCGACGTCGAGCCTTTCATTCCCTTACCTCACTGCCCCAAACTCCTCGTTCTTTCTCTCGAGCACTGTCGTAAATTCTCGGGGCGAGCTTCGTTCAAACATCCTTGAAGACGGTCAAAGGCCACGAGAAGCGACGAGCGGGAATACCCGAGCTGGATAGAGACACTCGAAGCAGCGTGAGACGCTGCTTCTCAATCTGTTCAACCTCTTTCCGGGCGCAGGTTCAAATTCTGCTGTCGTCGATCTAGGGGAATGATGTGATTTTTTGTATTGAGTGGGTTCCGAGGTGTGCGTTCTTTCTTGCTCGCTTCTTCGGTTCAAAGTTGGTTTGCTGATGAATTTCTGGTAGAATAGGTTAGCCTATACGCCCAACAAACAAGGAGATCCACAGTGTCGGTACCTTCGGCTGTCATGCTCCTTGCGCCAGCGAACGACCAGAACCCAAAACCTCTATCTTTTCGTGTCGTTAGGCGGCGGCTACAACGCGGGGACATTTCTCCAACACGAAGCAGCCCATAATGGATCGCCATCTCGAGTTTCACGGATCGTTCTGAAAGTAGGGCTTCGTCCTGTCTCCACGTCGTCAAGGCCCCAAGGGCTCATCCCGAACGTTCAATAGCCTAGTTTATCTCCTGGTACCTTTCAACATAACTCCAAACTCGCCGCCGTTGGCTATCCTCCACCTACCTCCCAGCTCTGGGAGCATACATGATCTCTCGACGGGCGGGCTAGCCCCACAGTGGGAGTCAATTTTGACCCGTTCGGTGTTGTCTCTATCGCTATATTTTTTTTCACTGCTCATTGGTGTTGTATTGGGGTTCATGGGCTGGTCCTGGGGGCTTGGATTTGCGGAGTCGAATTTGCGACACGACTGTGCTGGCCTTTCAACATGCACAACAATGGTACTGGCAGGTTATGCACGTACACGGGAAGGGGGAGGAGAAAGGTGGTGCTGGGGCATACAGGAGGGGTGCCAGACACGAGGCAGAGCTGCTTGACACGTTCCTAATGAGGGAGCCCCTGCGATCACGGCCATGAATCGTCGTGAGTCTGGCATGTGACGTCGTTGATCACCCAGCTGGACAGAGGCGCTATAGCCAAGTGGTTACGGCGACAGATTAGAATCTCGGTCTTCATCTCGGTCTTAATCGATTGATCTGTTCCTCTTTGAGGGCGCAGGTTCGAATCCTGCTGGCGTCGCTCCTATCGATTTTCTGCTTTTGTACTCTATCTAAAATTTGAATTGATTGCTTGACGTCCGGTAACCACCCATCCCGATGGCCCAGGCTCACAAGGAGTCATGATGACGTCGAATCGAAGAAATGAAGCAACTTAAGCAACTTCCAGCTTCCCCCCATCGCCCTAGCTCGTCCTACTAGTTGGATAATCGGCCTGTATCAACATGGCACATAAAGTCTGAACGAGAGTCAAGTATACAATGCGGGTTATTCTGGCACGCGGCCTCGTAGGAAAACACACGCTCCCAAAACCGCTCGTTTTGTCTCTTGGAGTGCAGGGACGCGTCCCTCTTCACTCATTACGGCCAGAACAACTTTTTGCCGACGAACCTCTGAAGAGGGAATAAATCTAATTGTCTAACAGAGGATAAAAGTGAGGGAGCTCAACGCTGAGCTTTACTTACGTCGCAAGTTACACGCAATCGACGTAACCATCGCCTAGCCAACGGGATTATATGTTTGAGCACACTGAAAGCTGACATCCAGTTTCGACGAGTCTCGCACACCAAGAACCTGAGGCCAAGAGAATCGAGGGTGGTTAACGACCGCAACCGGACAACCTTCAGGAGCACATGGCGTCCCTCCGAGGTTCGGAATTAGCCCCAGGGTTGGTGGTGGAGTACAAGTCCGTTGCTGAAAGCCAGAAGGGCTCGGCAGAGGTGCCTACATCGCCGTTATTCGGGCCTCTCAGCGTCAGTAAGCTATTTCAACTTTTTTTCGGTCACGATTTCAACCCTGCTTGCCCCTAAATTCTCATAAACTTGCAGGGTATAAGATTTTGGCGTGGGGCGAAAACATTTGAAAACGAGTCGTGCGCGTGAGATTTACTAGCGATCACCGGTCATCAACTGCGGTTCACTCCCATGGTCTTTCCATAAATACGCCCGCGTCGTTCGCTACACCCACTTGTCTTCCCCACAAGTTCTGTCCTTCAGAATGCGCCCGGCTAACCTTCTAGCGACCCTTCCGCTTGCTCCATCTTTCGACTTTGACTCCGCATGCTCTCTCTCTGCCCTCTCTTCACTGGAGTCCCAGCTTGGTCTTCCTACTCAATTCTTCCAAGCTTCTGTCGTACCGGCCGGTTCTAACATTACCTTCCCCGACACGGACCCCTCCTGCGGTGCAACGCCCCTGATTATTCCATCCGACATATGCCGAATCACGATGCAAGTCGACACGTCGTCCACGTCTCGTATCAACATGGAGGCTTGGCTCCCCCGAAACTGGACTGGACGTTTCTTGAGTACGGGAAACGGAGGATTGGGAGGATGCATCCAGTACCCCGATCTGGCTTATACGACCTCGCTGGGCTTCGCCACTGTGGGAGCGAACAATGGCCATAACGGAACCAGTGGAGCACCATTTGCCGAGAGTCCAGAGGTTGTGGCTGACTTTGCCTTCCGATCGTGAGTTATTCGCGCGCTCCTGTCGCGTCTCAAATTATTCCAGGGGCCGCTATGTACTTCTGTGTTTCTTTCTATTATTAGGATTCATACCAACGTCGTTGTTGGAAAGAAGATCGCGAAAGAGTTCTACGGAGAAGCTCACACGAAATCGTACTACCTCGGCTGTTCGACTGGTGGAAGACAAGGATTGAAAAGTGTCGAGGATTTCCCGGAAGACTTTGATGGAGTCGTCGCAGGTGGGTCACATCACCCTCGTTTCATTGGCTTAATGAACACTAGACCCGACTAACGTCGTTTCGTCTATTTGCTGCGGTTTCGGTTGATAATTTTAGGTGCTCCCGCTGCTCAATTCGTCAGCCTCACTTCCTTCTCTGGACATTTCTTCTCTGAAATCACCGGCGATCCGTCCCAACCAACCTTCATCCCCGTTCCCACCTGGACTGGTCTCATCCACAACGATATTCTCGCCCAATGCGACAACATTGACGGCGTTGAGGACGGTATCATTGAAGACCCCAATGTCTGCGATTACGATCCTTCTCGACTTCTCTGTGCCGCTGACCAAACCGACAATTGCCTCACTCCTACTCAAGTTGAGACCGTTCGCAAGTCGTACAGTCCATTCTTCAACTCAACCGGCGGCCTCATTTTCCCTCGTGCTCAACCGGGTGGCGAAGATCTTCTCGCGATCCAGGTCAACGGTCAACCCTTCATATTCACAGCCGATTGGTTCAAATACGTCGTCTACAACGACTCTTCTATCGATACCACCAAGATTGGGCTCTCAGACTACGAACTTGCGATTAAACAGAATCCGTTCGATATCCAGACATTCAAGGGAGATTTGAAGGCGTTCGAGGCTCGGGGCGGGAAGTTGTTGACGTACCACGGACAGGCAGATGGGTTGATTACGCCTCGGAACTCGGAGGTTTATTACGACCACGCGAAGGAAGTTTCGGGGGATTTGGATAGTTACTATCGGTTCTTCCGTATCTCGGGGATGAGTCATTGTTCCCGTGGTCCTGGTGCGTGGATAATCGGTCAAGGTGCAGGGGGTTCGTTGGATGCGGATAAGAACGTTCTGATGGCTGTTGTGCAGTGGGTTGAGGAGGGGACGGCACCAGAGACGATTGAGGGTGTCAAGTTTGTAAATGATGACGCGTCGCAGGGAGCGGCATTCAGTAGGAAGCATTGTAGATGGCCATTGCGGTCGACCTACGATGGTGAAGGTGATCCGAACAAGCCAGAGAGTTGGAGCTGTGAGGCTGTTTAAATTCCTCTTGACCCAATATTATGTTGGCTTTCTGAGTACGATATCCGCGGTGAAGTTTGATGAATGATGTCCGAACACTCGGTTACTTAGGCAGTACGATCCACAAGATTTCGGCAAGTTTTCAGAACATATTCAAACAAGCAACATAGGAACAGACGTGAATCCGCCACTTATGATTCCTTATAATCCCCTGCCCCCAGGTGTGGTTGAATTATCATTGTTTCGCACAATCTCTTCGCAGATTTTTCGTCGTACTCTGTCTAAACTTTCCATAATAGTGAACGCTTTCGCGTTTTGTTTATCTACTGAGCACCTTGTGAGTCTTCTGCAGGAAGTTGGCAGCGTAGGGGAGATCACTTCTATTCAGATTACTCGTATCACAAGTCAATCTGTGCTTACTCATGGGGCGCACGGTGGTTACACCAATGCCGACCATGGAGAAGAGGACCAGAGAAACACACGGATCAGACTACGCAAGCAATCGGCGCGAACAGTTCGTCAGTCTGTAGGATTGTGACCTGATGTTCCTACCAGGGGTGTCTAGGTTGCGGCCTTCATGAGTCTTTCCACCCCCTCAGTTTCGATGGGTTATTTCCAGTGCTGTGGGATGCACCTCAATCACTGATTCAAAGTCAATTAGATGGACCTAGTGTACCCGCGATTAGGTCCCACGAGTTCTTAGCAGTGCTAATTAGCAACGAGCCTTCGAGACCTATTTAGCTTAGCATATTAGCATTGCTAATTAGCTAGATATTAGCAAAAAAGAAAATCAGTTATTTTTTGTTTCGGTGCTCTAGTTTTTCGTCTCCTACAGCTATTTCTACATCATACAAGCGCGTAACTTGTCACTAGAAGGAATTTTAGTCATTCTCACCCATGTTTGAGGATCGCAGCACGCACGAATAGGCTGCGATATGCGTCAAGATTTTAGGTGCTCAATAGGCGCACACACTCAGATGTTTACCTTCCGATCCACACAAACCACGTCATCTGCAGTCGGAGAAATCTGTGCTAGCGCGTCAAAACCTGCATTAAATCCATCTGGAAGCTCGCCAGACTGGTAAGACCTAATTAGCAGTTGGATACCTAATCAGCACCCAAATTTTGGGAGTTTCAGAGGGCTTGCTAATTAGCCGCTAATTAGCATGTGCTAATTAGCATTGCTAATAACTCGAACCTAATCGCGGGTACACTAGATGGACCCTCACGTCGCATCTCCCGAGTCGCGTGGCCGGTTAGTCTAAGTACCTATAGACTATGTCTGCTGGCATTTGATGATCAAATTGATGGGTATCATTGATCACTAACTGCGGTCCGCGGCTGACTCCGCTCCCATTGGTATCACTATAAAAGCTCCCGCAATGTTTCATTCTACCCACTCGCTTTTCCACCCTTGAGTCTTTGGGGAAGGTGTTCTTCTTTGAAGATGCATCCAGCAAACCTTCTCGCTGCCCTCCCACTTGGCTCCTCCTTTGATTTCGACTCTGCATGCAACCTCTCTACTCTCTCTTCGCTCAAGTCCCAACTTGACCTACCCACCCAATTCTTCCAGGCTTCTATCGTAGCGGCCGGTTCCAACATCACCTTCCCTGACGTCGATCCTTCCTGCGTCCCTGATGCACCGACCCTCGTCATTCCGTCTGATATATGTCGTATCACTATGCAAGTTGAAACATCATCCTCGTCTCGTATCAATATGGAAGCCTGGCTTCCTCGAAACTGGACCGGACGATTCTTGAGCACGGGTAATGGAGGATTGGGAGGATGCATCCAGTATCCTGATTTGAACTATGCGGCTTCGCTGGGTTTCGCTACTGTCGGAGCTAACAACGGGCATAATGGGACCGGTGGAGCCCCATTTGCTGAGAGTCCGGAGGTTATAGCTGATTTCGCCTACCGCTCGTGAGTCAGCTTCCTCTTCACAAATTCTTGCTGCGTCCCAATCACGGGTACAGCTGCTGACTCCCGTGATTTTTCTTTTGCAGAATTCACACCAATGTCGTTGTTGGGAAGAAGATTACGAGGGAATTCTATGGCGAGGCTCATACCAAATCATATTACCTTGGTTGCTCGACTGGTGGAAGGCAGGGGATTAAGAGTGTCGAGGATTTTCCGGAAGATTTTGATGGAGTTGTCGCAGGTAAGTTACATCAACCCTGCTTTTTTGGCTTTGCTAAACGCGTTTCTCTCCTCTTCACACATTTCTGTCTCGATTTACCTGCCACATGGTATATAGGTGCTCCTGGTGTTCAATTCGTCAGCCTTCTCTCCGCATTGGGACAT